ATACAAATATCAGTAAATAAACAGACATGATATTTAAACAGTGAAAACAAAGATAAATATATTTCAAACTTTCAACCAAAAGACAAAACAAAGACAAATACTAACTTCACAGTGTTAAAGTAAAAAGTTTAGCAGTTTTGGCAGCAACCGAATAAATTTACTAAGCAATCTAAGTGAAATGGTTAATTTAAGTGAAATTACGAGTAAATTTATCATCAAGTTAAATATGGAAAATCTTAAACTTACCTCGTTGCGTAGAGTATGAACCTCATTCTGCAACGATACTACCATCTCACGTAGAGCGGCAACCTCACCACGTAAAGTAGACACCTCCACACGCCATGCACCATCGTTATCAAGTAGAGTACCGATCTCCTCACGCAAGGCATTGACCTCATCACGTAACTCCCTTGACTCATCCCGTGGAGGTGGAGAATAGGGAGATAGAAGTCGTGGCATATTTGTCGGTCGCCTATCATGAGGTGATGGTGGAGAAGAGGCTCGATGATGTGACGGGATAGGTGATGGCTCTCGTTGTAGAGGTGTATAGTCGGGTCAATCAGGTGATGGCTCTAGGTGAGGTGATGGCTCTCGAAGTGGAGGAAGTGGAGGCTGCTCATCATTCGTGCCATCAAGAAAACGCTGACTAGCTTGCCACCAATCAGTGGCAAGCTCAGCCTCCGTGGGTGTCAGTCTCATTAATGGAATGTTGGCCTCCTAAAAATATAAAAACTCAAACAAAGTTAAACGTCTAATATTAATAACTTGTTTATATATGATAGTATTTGTGTTAACTTACATTATTTATTGTCGCATATGGTATTAAGTCTTCCCAATCCAACAGGCGTTTCCTCTTCCAGGAAATAGCCCTGGGAATATCATTTGAAGTTTTTATTGCATATGTCTTCATGGTGGGAAAGGCCTCGAATATCCAAATCTACAAACAATATAATAACAAACATTAGTAATTGTTAAATAATTAATTATAATTTTGAAAACATTATATAGAAATTCTTACCTTAAAGACCCAAACAAAGCCTGACAAAGTGTATTTCGACCCATCGCCCCGCAAACTTTTGCGGTCATCAAAGGCAGACGACAACTTAATCCAGGTAGCTTTCCATATATACGAACCCCACGAAAATAGATTCCATGCATTTAGGTCCTCTACCAATAATATTAGCTCCTGAGGAATAGGTTGTCTGGCCTCTCTGCCTAAAAAGCCGGCATACAAAAGTAGTAGAAGGCATACTCGGACAACATCGACGTCATTCATCCGAGTAAAACCATCTTTCTTATTATACAATTTCTTCATGTCGTCGACGTGTAAGTTCGGCTTCTCTATCGACTCATCAGGAAAAACCCTGGATAACCATGATGGGCGGGTGATATGACGAGTGTACCGGCCTACATCATCGTGTCCGAATCGTAGACCAGTGATTAAGCAGAACTCCTTCCGCCCAAAACAAGTATACGCCGGTGGAAAATGAAACCATATCTCTTCCTCACCACGTTGTATACTGTCGGGTAGATCGCTAGTCATGGTCTGAAGCCACAAATGGGTCAAACTAGCATCTCCACCCGGATGCTGTACTCTCAGCCATGGCCCGAAACAGGTTTCTTCAAACAATTTTCTTTGTGCATGTGAAAGCTTCGAAGCAATTGTAGTGGCTAGACTAACTTTATTCCTTAATGTCAATGAAGCCGAAAAAAATTTCTACAAAAAAACAATAAACATACCAAGTTAGATATACCAAAAATTACACTGTCAAGATATACCAAAAACAAAACAATAAACATAAATAGTAGTTTATTCTTGAAACTAAAATTTGCAACACTGTTTTTGTCTTTTGGTTGAAATGAAAATCGCAACGAGATAATGAGAATCGCAACGCGGAAATGACTATCGCAACGAGAGAATTGCAACGCGAAATGACTATCGCGACCAGACAATCGCAACGCGAAATGAAAATCGCAACCGCGAAATAAAAATCGCAACGCGAAATGAAAATCGCAACGCGAAATAAAAATAGCAATGCGATTTTTGTTTCGCGTTGCGTTTTTTATTTCGCGTTGCGATAGTTATTTCCGCGTTGCGATTTTCATTCTCGAAACTATTCTTCTTTTGCATTACTCCAACCAAAAGACAAAGCAAAGACAAATACTAACTTCACAGGCTAAACAGTTTAGCAGTATTGTCAACAATCGAATGAATTTAATAAGAAATCTAAGTGAAATGATTAATCTATTATTGAAATTACCAGTAAACTTATCATCAATCTCAATATCAAAAACCTAAAATAATGCAAAAATTTCAAAATAAAAAAAACTAACCCTCGGAGGTTGATTTTCCATTTCTGAATGATTGTGAGGGATTTTTGACTGTGAATGGTTGTGAGGGATTTCGCCGGCGATGGGGACGGAAATCATCGAAGATGGGGACGGATTTCGCCGTAGAGAGTGAGAGATGGAGATGGGACTGAGTGTTGTGTTTTTGGGTTTGAGGTTATGAGTTGCAATTACTGTGGACGGTTCAGTTTCCGATTTATTAAGAAAAAATTCGTGTTTGGAATTTGAAAAAAAAAATACGCGTTAATACGAATGGCGCTATGTAAATATCGTTGCGAAAGTCAGTATCTCGTTGCGATTTTGTATTATCGCATTGCGATAGTAAGTATCGCATTGCGATAGTCAGTATCGCATTGCGATAGTCAGTATCGCATTGCGATTTTCCCAATTCGCGTTGCGATTTACTTATTCGCATTGCGAATTGGGAAAATCGCAACGACATTGTATACCATCGCAACGTGATTTCCAACTATCGCAACGCGAAATGCAACGCGAATTTGCGATAATGGAGATCGCGTTGCGAATTAGCGATCGCATTGCGATTTTGTTGGTCATTTTGGCAAATCCGGAAAAAGTTGATTAAAATCGTATATTATATGGGATTTTTGGTCACTGAGGTTATTTTCTCTAAATTTAAAACATATGAATAGTAAAGTGATCATTTTGTAACTTTTAATAATCAAAGATTCAACAAAATAGCGTCCATTGTCCTATAGTTGGAAGCCAATTTTATAATTTTTTTATAGTCAAATGACTCAACAAAATAACGCCTTATAATCGAATGACAATTTGCATATTATATCCTTTAATTTAAAGTAATACAAAAAGTTAGCTATCAATTTATATATTAGGCATAATGACAAAACACACCTCTAACATTTGATAATATTATCACTTTGATCCCTATTTTTTCTTTTTTAAATACATTAACTCTTACCGTTTCATTTTGGGTCATAAACTCCTTTATTGAAAAAAATTGTTAGTCAATTAATAGTTAACATCTATAATCAAACAATATAGAGAGACATTGACGGAGCATGTCTAGGTCGAAGTAGATAATGATATGACATTCTATCACACAATTTTTTTTAAAAATAAATAATATTATAAACAATATTTTTTTTACTTCTTTTAAATCTGATGTGGCAACATGTTATTATCTACTAATTTAAATATGCCACGTCAATATTTTTTTATCTATTTTTGTTGAGTCAACTTTAAGTGACCGTTAATTGACTAAAAATATTCATCCAATGACTTTAAAATTAAGCGTTGGAGGTTAATGTAGTTCAAAAAAATATAAGGACCAAAATGACACTGTTGTCAAATGTTAGAGTTTTTTTTTTAATAATAACTATATATATATATATATATAAATATTACGCCTTAATAGATCAAAGATACATAATAAATGAAAAAAAAAACACTTAGAATTACAGAATCACTGAATCCCATATTGCCAACATCTGCACACAAAACAGAAGAAAGTAACATCTTGGCAACCAAACAGAAATTATTAATTCCCAGCTCAGAATTCTACACATTAAGTTGATTAATATAACTGGGGAAAATCCCCTCATCATAAAACCTCAAAAGAGCAATTTCCTGGAAGCTCGCTTGGTGGGATTTTCATGGATTCCGGAGTCTGATTCATCATGAAACCACCCAACAGATTTCTACATAATCTGCGATATCCCTGCAAAAACACCCCCACACAGAGAACATAATTAAAGCAGAATTCCAAATATAAGGGATTTATGAGAACTGGCTTTTTCTTTCTGTTTGACATAAAACCAGAAATCAAAGAAAGACGGGTTGCCTTGTTGAACAGTTTGCTTGTTGTGCCGGATGTCATGGATGGTGGCGGAGAGTTTCCAGTAAAGAGGGCGGCCGGCGTAGAAGGGAGCAAAGAGGAGGAGCACAGCAATTACTATGCGGAATGTGATCCTTGATGTAGAAGAAGCCATTGATTGATTTCCTTCACCGCTTATTTATCAGAGAAGTGACAAGATTTGTTGTTTATGCAGCGAACCCCCATATACGAGTAAAGTCACCTCTTCCAATTGGATTCGAGAAGAACAGTAAAACACCGTATTCAATTTTATGTCTAATGCATATTAGTCCCAAAAGTATACAACTGTTTCTATTTCAGTCTTTTAACAGTAATATATATAATACTCTTTTAACACTAATATTACCGTCAAACTTCTCGTTCCTACTTCCTAATTTTACTCTTGATGAAAAGAGAATGAAATAAATAAATTTGGGATTGAGAGTTGTAAATTTAGATTTAAAATGAAATAGAAAAGGAGTTAAAATGCCAATAAATATCCTATTTAGATTAAATGATATTAACGATTTAGATTAAATGATTTTAATGTAATCATCCATTACGAAACTATCATGTCATCGTCACATTAAATTATTGATAACAAAATAATATAATTACAGTTAAATATAAATGTTAGTATTAAAATTGACAAAGTTAAATATAAATGTTAGTATTAAAATTGACAAAATTAAAAGAGTAAATATTTAAAATTTAACAGCATAAAATTTGGATAGTATCTAGTTTAGTTTACCCTAAAAAGTATAAGCAGACATATTATTTGCATTATTGATTCTAGAATAACAAAATTACTTCTAAATCCTTTAAAAAAAACAAGCAAAACCTCCATGTTTTTATTTATTCACAAAATATGGCACTCGTAATTTTTCAAGCGAAACATGTCAAAGAAAACTGTGTTTGTAGGAACAATTGCAATCTTCAATAGCTAGGTCTTCTCTGTCTAGGTGCATGTCGTGACGGTTCTTCGTCGCTACCAGGAAACTCCCATCTCGCGATGACACCATCCCACGAGGAGGTTATCATCATCGGATAAAATGGATGCCAACTACAATCTCTCACCGGGGCTTCGTGATGATGGCAACTTGCTACCTGAGCACCACTCACCTACAATAGAATAACATGTCCATGGACAAAGAAATGTTCGCAAGACCATGACCATCAAGTAGAGGCGGCGAGGGGAGAAGAAGAAAAGGGAGCATCTTACATAAACCAGTATGGTAATGAAATCGTGGAAGTAGTAGCTTACCAGATCATATATATAAACCGAACCATCACTAGAGCCACTATATATGTATTTTTGACCAGTGCTGCAAAATTTGATTCCCAAAGTTAGAAAATATACCTGCTAATCCAATGGATGATCTTGAGGGTAAATGTAAATCATAAACCATCAAGTTGACTAAACTGCCTAGCTCGCCCAGACCCCACTCAAATATTGGACAGGTTTCGCTGATAAAAGCTAACAGAACATTTGAAACTTGAAAAAAGAAAGGGGTTAAAATAACTACCCAATTTGGCCAGTACATGCCATCCATTTGGGTTTTGCAACCGACTGGTAGTGGTGCAAACCAGACTTTACGACCTCTCCTAGGGTAAACATAAGTGATGCGAACTTATCTCTATGGTACATACATCAAGGCAATTAAAGTAAAACGCTGATCTGCAATTTGGGGATTCTTTGGGTAATTATAGTTAACCCATGTAATAATGAAAGAAAAGAAAAGAGATCGAACCATGTGGCCTAAGGGAGGGTTTTCAGCTGGCTAGATTCAGGCTAAGATTTTAGAAAAGGATTGCACATGCTTCCAAACCATAGACAAGCAAGCATTATTAATGAAGCACAAGTGCATAATTGAACCATGAAATACTTATAAGAGATTACCTATATGCTGGTGAGAAGTAACAACGAATCAAAGTACGCAACACTTTGTGGCCTTTGTATGTTGCTAATGACTGATCATGGGGATGTTTCAAGGCTCTTGCATGAGTCGGGTAATCCATCCATCTGTAGTCAAAGTGAGGATCCCTTAGCCTTGGAGTGCTGTCCAAAGAAATTAATATCAGTGGTAAGATACAGAGAGGGTATTGCCAAAAAAGGACGAGCCTTAACCGCTAAAAAATTATGCAAAATTCTAAGTCAAAAGTTTATTAATATCACAGATATAGCTCATATATCATATAGACAAAAAAGGAAATATCAAGCTTCAAGAAGTAATGCCAAAAATCGCATTAGGTGACAAAGGGAGTTGATTTTATATTACTATGGGACATTGGAGGACATCTTTCGTATATCCCAGAGTTTTGTAGTCTGATCTTTTCCGTTCGAAATGAAATAACGGCCATCTCCACGGCTATCAATGAAGGTAACCCCTTCTAGATGCCCTATCAAGACCCCATCTGCTTTTCCTCTAGTGCTAAAGGAACGCCTATCCCACACCTGTTCAAGCCAATAAGAAGTTTCTTTATTATACAAGATGATCAGCAAGAGACTAAAGCCACTTTGATTTTGACTGACACTAATCAGAGCATATCTAAGATAATCACAAAATTTCGTAGTCGAGGTTACATTCATCTGCAACGGTTACATAAGTATAAAATTCACCTTACAGAGATGATCATCACTGCCGGAAAATAGGAGATGGCCAGTTTCATCGGCAAAGCATACTGTGTTAACATCAGACTGCAGGAGGAAATGGGAATAGAACTTAGCATCTCCAAGCCAAAAATAATTGAATGTTGGAATGCTCCTTGAACATTTAACAATGCATGGAATGAAAAGTAATTGCAATACCTTGTGCGCCATAATTCGGAGGCTAGGTCTTTTTGAATCAAGATCATAAACATATATAGAATTATCACTACTTGCAGCAACAAGCTCTTTTCCATCAGTGGAAAATTTCACAGAGAAAATTCCAATTCCTTCATATTCATCATCATTAGAATCATCAAAAGAAAAGTCCAAACCTTCATGAATTTCCTGCATAAGAAGTGAGATATAGTTTTACTATAATGATGGGAAACAGCTCAATATGGATAATAAGATTTCCAGCTAGCGCTTTCAGAAAAAGATGACTGTTATAGCAATTAGCAATACCAATCCCTCAACCCCATAATCTTTCTGCTTCTTTAGATGCTCTTGAAACTGAAGAAGACTAATTAAGTCCCTCAGATCATCCGGTATAATTATTGCCTAATTCATTTCTAGAAGCCAAAATGGTACTTTCAAGTTGTTTATATCATGAACATTTGGTGATGTCTATGATGAAAAAGAAGTGTTTGTTTTAATTGGCAAAATTGAACATATACATTGGAAATAACACTTCAACCAGTTGATATGCATATAAAGTATTGATTTTTGAAGTTATTAGCACTTGTAGAAGATACCGTAATATTTGCAATTGACTCTGAGGCAGTAGATCCAACATTCACAATGTGAACAATAGGGGATAAACTAGAATACACCTGCATTATTAGCAATGATTAGCAATCAAGTTAAATGAAATGAAACCAAAACAAAGAGAAAAGAGGGGCAATATAATCAAAGAATCATTAACTATAAAATTAAGTCATCAGGCAATAACAGTATATCACACTTACAAGAAATCGCTGATCCGGTGAAAGACAGGTATCAGTAATCGTCCATCTCAAGCTTTTCGCCAGAATGTTCTTCTGAACTTTCCATCCCTTGTCCACATTATATATCTTAATGTGACTTCTCTGCATCATCGGGAAAAGATTAAAATCAGTCAAAGAATAAGATCATAGAAACTTCAGTTTAAGTGAAGATATACAATCATTGAGCCAACAAATAAACAATTGGTCACTATTTCAATGTTTTGACTAAAGCCTGAGTGAATGAAGCAACACCTGGAATCCAGCAACAAAAAGAGAACCATCGGCTGAAAACTGAGACACGTATGCTCGACTTTTCAGGTGGTCCACCCACCAGGGACCATTGACAGGCAAATACCGACTTAAAACATAGCAACCATCAGCTGATGAAAATCTACCCCTACCAGTATAATTACCCTCTCGCCCGACCAACATTTTCACCGTAGAAACAGGTAGTTTCCGCTTGCCAGGAACACTTCGGGACAGAAGTTCATGGGGTCCTGACCTAAGGTTCGTGTGTTGTGCAATATCATGAACAAGATAATCAGAATCCTCACTACAATCTTGGTTTGCACAAGTTCCATTAGGGGCAATCCCATCATCACAAGCACTAACATCCTTTCGAGACCTACTCATTATGCAAACTAAGTACTTAAATTCAACAAACATGTAATTTTGAGCTAAATCCTTCTAAAGTAGAACCCCAGAAAAATCAGTCTCTCTCATATCACTGTAAAATCTTCAACTTCAGTCCCTTGTCAATCCTGCAAACAGAGACATTTTACTTCAAATGCTGAAATTCAAGCTCTTCAACAACACAAACAACTAAGAAAATCATACTACATTCCTAACCCTAAGATGTAATTCGCTTCCTTAACATATTAAATCATCATCATTTAGAATCAGACGGGGCTAATTGAAATACAACTTTAGACGATTCAAAATATTGTTTTAAAGTGAAAAACCAATACTAACAAGTCTCATATAAGATGAACCTTTGGAGAAAGCTCCAATTGAAGTAAAATTCCAAAAAGTAAACATCAAAAGGAATCATTTGTCCGGTTGCATAGAAATCCAGGAGAAAGTGATAAGTCAAAAACATTGATATAATCACCATTCACAATTTTAGTAAAACAATCCAAAATTCAAATACTAAAAAGGAAGGATCAGATAAAGAAAACGAACTGAACCGTGGATGGAAACAAGTTTATCTCGTCGTTCAAACCAGAAAAGATAAACCTTCATCGGCCGACTATACAAACTTGTTCCCATCAACAAAACTGAATCGGCCCATTCAAGTAAAAAACAGTGAAAACATAATTGGTGTCAGTCCTATCAGGTTATCAGAATTTACTCATTTAACCAAACAAGAAGAAAAAGTTTAAGGAAATGAAGAGAGAGTAATTGGTGTCAACCCTCTATTTTTTTGTCAATTAGCCGAACGAAGAAGACGATCTAGAAGGATATTTGATAAGAATAGTGGTTTTAATAGTCAGCTATGTTTGTTTTTTTTTCCTGAAAAAAATAAGCGCTTATTCCCGGAGATAATTGTAAGTAACAGCGGGGTATCAGGGAGGTACGGGACAGGTGTAAGATGGAGATAATGCTACGTGACATCACGCGCAACATGTTGCCTTTTGTAAGCTTAACCACCTCCATCAACCGTAAATGTGACACTAAACTGATAATTATTTTAAATCTTATATTGTAAATTATTATGATTAATTCGATATTAACTAAATAATAAATAAATTATATTTGTCAAAGCTATGTTTTGGACATGGAGATATATGTTTTGTATAGCTATAGATGCATGTTCATGTTTGCATTTGACCATATGATGCTTGTAGTATTATCATAGCAAGTAAAGTTATAAGTTGGATTGAAATATGTGTTTGAAAAGCATGTCATAGGATGATTTTCAATTGTAGATGTAGAATGGTTGCCAATGCTTTATCATATTAGAGTCGTGTTTTTTTGATGTTATAAACGTTATGTTTATTAGGATGATTACAATATAATATTTATTTAAAAATAATAATTTATTAATAACGTACACACACCCAACAAACGTCGATATTCGAACTCAAGACTTCTAAAAAGATCAACATACTCATACATAGATTTATCACATCGAGAATTAATACTCTTTTATGAATGATAATATATTCTATATTTTTTATAGTCTCAACTTAAACCTTTCTTTTCCAATAACCTTATTTACAATGCGATACTTAATTTAGTCATCATTTTGAATTAGTTATATTCATTATCAGAGATCCAATACATACATTGACGCGCATTTACAAAAGTTTAGGGACTAAAGAGTTAAATAACAAAGGTTTAGAGACTAAATTTTAACATTCCAAAGTTACACAAAGTACTTTATCAATATTCCTTATAGATTGGGTTTAAGGTGGCTAACCCAACATAAATTTGTCTTCAACTATAAATTGTATTTATACCTACACCAAAATTAAGCCATTTTTTATTTATGAAAAGAGAGCTCGCAATCTAGTTTAACATGTCAAAGGTAGGGTTGTAAACGAGTCAAGTCGAGCTCAACAATACTCGAGCTCGACTTGACTCGAAAACATTAAAATGGAATTTGACTCGGCTCGAAAACTGATGAGTCTAAAATTTCCAAGCTCAACTCGAATTCAAAACCATGAATTGGAGCTCGTAAAAGCTTAGAAAACTCGAAATAAAAAAATCTTAAACTTAATTCTGTTTAAGCTCAAATTCAAACTCGTACTTGAATCTTAAGTACATAAAAATCTTATGATGCATTTAAAAAAATCAACACATAAATATTAATAATATTAATAATTTGGTTTTTTTAAAAAGATAAAATTTTAATATGTTATTTTTTCGAGTTGCTCGTGAACTTTTCGAGTCGAGTATTATAACATCCCCAACCCGTACCCGACCCGGATACAAGTCTGAGGTGTCACATTGACTTTTCAAAACATGAACATTCATAAAAACTATATGAAATTTTAAAATTTTATTAAAACAAAAGTCATATTTACACCATTGAGTTCAAAACATTACAGAGTTGATCAGAGCATACACAAATCTATATTTATTTACATGCCAACGCCTTTAAGACAACAAAATACCTACTACGTGATTTACTTCTGATCTGATCTCTTGTGAAGATATGTTGTTATGCCGGTCTCAAGTCTAGTCCTCGTGCTTCTTAGTACCTACGTGTAAAACACTTGGACGCTAAGTCATAGACTTAGTGAGACATAAACATATAATAAATAATTTCTATAATATGAACATGTAATCAATTATCTAATAACAATTATGCATATAACCTTATAAACCCATAATGTCATATAGGAATCAATATAAACAATAATAACATGATAACATGCAAACTTGTACATATTCTTTACATCTTTTATAAGCCCATGCACACTATTGAGAACTCAAGGTATACAAGTACTATGAGGTTGTGCACACATATGCTATCACCATAGCTCGTATAAAATTCATTAAGTGGCATATGAAATTTGTGTCCCGAAGGACCTATCCATATGTTCCGAAGAACATAGGTAACTGTCCATATGTCCCGAAGGACATAGGTAATCTTGTCCATATGTCCCGAAGGACATAGGTAAACTATCCATATGTCTCGAAAGACATAGGTAACCCTCGACTCTTGGCATGCCAACTATACCTCTAGCTCTCAAAATACATAACATGGACATTATATTTTATCCCTTCACATAATCAAACATCCATCTATTCACATCATATAACTTATATCATATTTTCATGTAATCACATGTTTCCTTTAACATACTTTATATCTTGTACTCATATAATCATATCACTTATACTTTCTCTTTCATATATCTCACGTTATATCATTCATAATCACATAACTTTAACATACTTAATATATCATATAACTCAACTAACTCAATCTCAATTCACATGTAGTTTCCTAACTTATTCCTATTTAGATTATTTAACATAAACAAGTAATCTCGTGTATCCTATAAGTAAATACTATCTATTTGGTCTCACTCTTCCATTTACTCATATTAATCATTTCTATTAATTCGATTTTACATAACTCCTATATTATAGTTTCCTTTGAGTATATAATTCTTTCCTAATTAATTATCTTACAATTTCGTATCATCTATTATGTTCAAGTCTCCTCATTAATATACTATTCCCATTTAGTCATATAATTTAATTATACTGATTCCTATAATTGATCACATATATCATTTAGCATGTGTGGTCATCTATCATATAACTTATTTGTATGTTTCAATTCCTATAAACTTCTCATATGATTTCCTATATTCTTTGTGCTATACTTTATATCACATAAAAACCCTACATAGTTTAGATCATAATTCCATTTATACAATTCCTTATATATCTATTGTCGTTTATCATGTCACATAGATTCCATACATTCACCTATGTTCACACAACCATGTAAAATATATACAATCACATGCTCATATTTATGATTCATGTATACTATTATAGGAAATAGACTCATCGCGAGTCTTATTTCCATATCGTGAGTCTTATTTCCATTCATCATACGTCACTAATACGCACTCACCTTAGCCTTGTTTGAATTGAATCGATTCTAATTCTTCAATTGCTCTGGAACAAAGTCACGTTCAATATCTACATAATTATACATTGATAGATATCAGTATTCCACTTGATATACTCTAATCTTTCATTTCTTATACTAAATGAAAGGCTAATTTCATTCCTTGTTTAACATAAGTATCAGTACACTATATAGGGTATCGATACCTCCCTTAATTGAGGTATTGATACCATGCCTAGGTATCGATACCCATATTGCATTATGTAATTTTTTGTTCAAGGGGGTATCGATACACTCCTGAAGGTATTGATACCCTTTGAATATCTTCCTGAATTTTACTCTGGAGGTATCGGTACCTGTTGAATGGGTACCGATACCCTTTGCCCAGAATTCACATTTTAAGCACGAAAATTCACTTAATTTCTCACAAATACCTCATGTTTCAACCCTTTACATATCCATAACTCATATACATATGCTTAAACCCATTTCTACTCATTAATCACATCTTAAACCTCCAAATCATATCATCCATATGAAATTCAAGAATTAAACTCAGTTTTCAACATGTTCCAAATTCAATTCTATTATTTTAAACCTCTTAATCCTTCTTATGACAAGTCAAATTCATAATAAGAATTTCAAAAACCTCTTTATATCAAGAATTCATTTCTTAACCCTTAATGAGATTTTATTTCTAATTATCTATACTTGATGATTTAAGCTTATATAACATCCAAATAATCAAAACCAACTTATAAATTCAAGAAATAAGAAGCTGAAATTAAACTCACCTTTATGAAGTAAACCAACGGGAAGAAGAAAGAAGAAGAAGAAAGCTTTCCAGATACTTCCTCACCCATAAGCTTATCTCTTTAAATAAGAGAAAAATATCTTTTAAATAAAAAGACCATAATACCCTTTCAATTCTTCCATAATTACCATTTAATCCAATATCAGAATATTACCCTTTAAATCCTTAAACTTTTCAATTTTTCCTAAATTGATCACCAAATTCCAAAAATTCTCATTTTAGTCACTAACCCGATCTTTGGGATGTTACAAGTATCAAGTAGCTCATTTCGACTCGTTAAGAACTTGAGTCGAGCACTAGTCGAATCCATTCGAATCGAGTATTTATCAAGCTTTGACCGAGTCGATCTCGAGTTGTTCATGATCTGTCTCGTCTCATTTACAGTCCTAGTCAAGGGTATCTTGTTGTGTTACAGTCCGCCTGAAAGGTTGAGCTTACATAAGAACTCTTAGGATAAATTACATGATTGATCATTTTCGTTTAAGTTTTATACATTTTTCCTTATTGAATTCAAAAAATATAATATTTGATCACTTTAGTTTTTATTTCCTTAAGATGTGATCTTGTTCATTTTTATTTAATTAAGATGTGATCACTTTACCTTATCGACTATTAAATATTTAGTTACTAAAATTTTGATTGTCTTAGTGAAAAAATAAATAAAAATTACCACATTTTAATTAAATAAAAATAAAAGTGACCAAATATTATGTTTTTTGAATTTAGTGAGGAAAAATATACAAAACTAAAACGAAAAGGATAAATCTTGTAGTTTACCCAAACTCTCAAAATTAAACAAAACAAAGTATGACTTCATAACTAATAACATAATCATTTGATATATCACATAAGTAATTTGACATAGAACATAACGATTTGATATAGAACATAGAAAAGGTTTCCGTGGAAAAGATAAGATATATTAATCATTTCATAAACATGCTTTGTAGATCATGTTAATTAAGTTATAACCTAGTGATTCATTTGTAATCCATGGATAGTTGGATCCTTCCTATTCGTAAAGTCACTAGATTTGAATTCTGTTCAAATTAATCCTTCAAATGTCAGAATTTAATACAATTAAATCCTTTATACTTTTCATTTCTTCGAATTAATTCACGAATTAGGATTTATTAATTCCCTAGGTCTAAACTTGCACAAATTTCTAAATCGATTTTTGAGATGTTATACAAATTTCTAAACAGATATACATAGAGAGTTAGAGGGTCTCTTACTCCTCTCAAATTTTTTGTTCTCATAGAACTTTAGGCCCTTATCAATTTTAACTCAAGTAAAATTAGACTTTTACTCCCTCCAAAATTTTAGATTAAATACTTAATGAGTACTTATTATTTTTGAAGTTAAATAATTTAATCCTCTCAATATTTTAATAAATTCTTGTTATATATTTCTAGTTAAAACCTCTTCTAAATAAATAATGGGTAAACCACTCAACTATTGTCTCTTTTCATTTTGACCGCCGATGTTTCGATCTTATCAATCAGACCACCCAACTATTTAAAATGCTTCAATCAAACCATTTGTCGTTAAAAGTTAGGAAATGCTAATGTGGCAGTTAAAAAATTGGTATACTTATACGTTTAGCCCTCATTACTTACACATTCTATTAATTCAATCATAATTTTAAATTAATTTAATTAGTTTAGTCCTCCAATCATATGACGATCTCAATGACATGTGTCATGATATGATTTGAGGACTCTTTTAATTTAATTTTACTTGACTATCCGTGTGTTGTATTTTCTTTCTAACAAGATAAATTTATAAAATTAAAAAAAATTGTATGAAAATTTATAGAATTGTTTTTGTTACACCATATATGTTTTACAAAAATGTAATACTTAATATATTACTAATATAATTAACGGATGAAATAATATTTACAAATAAATTTATATAATTAAATATCTTTTAATTACTTTGATCATAGTATATAATAGAATTTTGAGTTGATTTTTGAGAGATTAAAAAATATTTGAGTTAGAAACTCCCTTTAGATGATGATTAAGTTTGTCAATATATACCAATAACAATTTTGGTTTTGTTTCTCTAATTGTTAGAGAATCCAAAAGTGAGATAATCTAAATTTTTTGAATTTCTACTTATTCATTATTGAAGCAATTCAAGTGCATTTGAATAATTTATAACAACTCCATTATTATAAGCTTACAAGCTAAATTTTCATATAAAAAAATAAATCTCAAACTCCACTCAAGTTTACATTATTCCCATCAAATACTCTCAATCAAATTAAATAATATATTTAAAAAATAATATTAAAGACACCATAAATACAATGTTAATAAACACACATCAAATATTAGAAAACTATTTAAATATATATAGCATCATTTAAATATTAAATTAATATGGAATAAAAAATATTTAGTAAATTTATACTTAATTAAAAAAATATATAACAAAATATCCAAATAAAGAAAACTCATTATTTCAAAAGTAATATTTTCCACACAAAAAAAGTGTTATGATCAGTAATATTTTATTTTTCACGTGTGGAAATCACTTTAATTCAAATATGAGAACGAACTTTAAAAAAGAACATTAGCTTAATAATAATATTCTCCGCGAATCAAACATCCGATAACAATTATAGTTTAGATGATTACAAAGAAAAAGGTCCCTGAATCTTGCACGGTTCAGCAACCTTCATATTGCCATTTATGTCAGCGGGACTTGGAGCACCACCCTCAAACCATGTCTAAATAAGCATAGTGTGTCAAATACAAAAGTAAAATGAAAAGTCTTACCATTCATACAACTTCTAGGTTTCCCACTTGGATTCAGGAACCAGTGTCAAATAAATCTCGAAAACTGAACTCAAAACTGCTAGAAGCTCAACAAAATGCTGAAGCTTTTGGACTGAGTGATTTCATCAAACACTAGCATACATATATTTACATTTTGTTGAAAGCACATACCTTGTCTGGTCATGTGTGCTAATTGTTTCGTCTGTCGAACAAGCACCTGCGTAGAGTTACTGCAAACTCACCTACTCTGTTCGGGTGGAAAATGACTGCACACATGGCTAAGCAAATAGCTGCAGTTGCGATTACTAATATGGCCTGACGGGAACTCAATCTCGTGGTGGCAAAACTACACGATTTTGTCCTGCAATCCTTGCTGGGGTCCACATTCATGATAGTTTCTTTGTTTAAAAGCGGAACAGTATCTTCGCTTCTACCAGAGGTAGTTGGTGCCATCATTGTTTGTAATTTACCATTAGTGTTTTCCTCCAAAACCTGAAAATAAAACATCACTCATTAATAGCACGAAATGATCAATAATATATAAAATCTAGATGTTATAAAGTGGAGGTTTCAAAACCCTCTTACAAGCATCTGTCAACACCCATATCTGACACATATTCAAACACGAGTATGGAGGTATAATTCTCCAAATATATAGTGATTTTATTTAATAAAAAAAAGCATACTTCTGTCAAAAATATACCGATATTATGAATAGAGATTTTAGAAATCCCACTCATAATACATCAGAAATCAGATTTCCGAGGCACAACACCAAGATCATTCTCAAAGCTGCTTTCAGAAAGCTGGTTTCTTACTCGCTCAATGTACTCTGAACGAATCTCAGGAATTTCAGCTTTCTGAAGTTCGTCGCTGAGGATATCTCTAGCATTCTCCATATATTTCTGTAATAACATTATATCAGATTCATTAGCTCCGTTAACTCCCATCTTCCCCACCACAATCTTCAGATTTTGTAATATCTTCTTCAAAATGACCGTAGATTTGTTTTGGATGAGAAAACTCAATAACCGATTGAATCTTTGAATCTGAGAAGAGGCCTTAGTTTCTTGAAAATTTTCCAATTTAGGCTCCCTCAATAACCATGCTATATCTAAGACAAGCTCGGAATACGCTCTTTGTCTTAAAGTTGTTGCTTCACATGCCTCAAAAAAGGACCCAGTGGCAGAAAATTCTGAACCTTCTCGAGATACAGATGCATCAAAACTCTGCTGTATTGACCTCATCTCGGAACAAACTTCTTTGTCTCCGATTAGGATGGGAATAAAATTTGACAATCCATACTGATTCTCAACCTACAAAAGAAATCCGTATATGAAGGGAAAAAATACCCCAAGGTTCAATAATGCATATTATGTTGAAACATTCATCCAGATTGATATTAATTTTTGAATCTCAACTCAGGCATAGATTCAATATTTTTTCATTTTTTCTTTTCAAGAACAGGAAAAAACCGAAATATTAAGCCAACTTTCATGAAACCCACCTCAATGAATGCAGGACCATAGATATCTGGTTCAGTTTGAGGGGCATATATTTTGTATAATTGATGATCACAACTAGGATAGTCCTCTTTACTATGAACATTTGAGGATGCAACATGATAATCATACGGGAGATATCTTCCAGCGAAAGATACTAAAATCCTGGAAAAAAATCATATATCTTATGCATTAATGAATTGGATAATGGAATATTAGAGTTTAGAGAAGGATCACTTGCAGTGTTGTCAACTGAAAATTTTGGGGGAAGAAAGATGGAAATAAATAACAGAAGTGAAAGTTCAATGACTGATGAACGTAAACCCATACTGAGATTTGGGATGCAGCAAATTACTTCCGCAAGCAACAAACTCCATCGGCTTGCCAGCCTCAAAATATGAAGGATGAACATAGTGAAGTCTTGGGGACTGCAACTCTGCATCAATTTTCACCATTGAAGTTCCATCTGCACATGCAAGAGACCTTACTCATAGTAAGAGGTCTAAATGAATGAAATGAAGACACCTACAAGACTGATCAAAAGCACTTTAGATTAAAGATGAAAGCAAGAGCCAATTCCACCATGTAAAAATCTTAATTCCTGCTGCACGCATAATTACTTGGTTGAGACAAGCAGACGATCATGATTAACTGGAAATTGTCTTCCAGAAATTTCAACCATCCATTTCAAGGCTTGGAGACATCAAATTCATAAAATAAAAAGAAAATAATGTGTTCGTAAAAATTTACATTTGATTCTCACCTTTCCTAGTACGGAGAATCATGTTATTAAGATAAATAGTCATGAAGCCTCTCCCAAATAACATCCTTCCAGGTCTAAAGACAAAGTCGTGCACATAGGTCATTGGATTTTCAGATAACTGTTAGGTAGAAGAAAACAAGAGGTTAAAATATCTAACAAATCTTCCAAAAATGAACACCAGATTAACAACTCAATACTTCCAGAAACCATGTAGTTAAGAGAATATCAGCAAAAGCGTTTTATCTTCATATTTTTTTCTGAGAAAAACATAAAGAAGAAAGCAAGTTACCAGCTATAAATTTGACAATTGATGTGTGTGATCTATGCAGACATGTTTGCATAGTCAAACCAAATATATACAAGAAAGAGACCGACAAACCCATTTAATTGAATCACTACCTTCATCCACATATTTGTTGGCATCGAAATGAACACAGTCAAGATAATGCAACCAGGACGGATGTAGCCTTCCAACTCAACAGGCATGTTCCCCAACCATTCAAAAATCTGTAATCCAGTTACCCAGGTCAATCAGCTTCTCAGATCTCTAACCACAAAAGCAATTTGATTTATTCAAATACTAAACTGGAAGAACAATTGTTTAAAGTACTTGGTGCCGAAGTCTTCGCGGGAATTCTGCTGGATTCCAATCATAAAGCTTGAATGAGATCCTGCCTGTAGGGCACTATAATAAAAAAAAAATTCAATATATATTCACAAACACACAACAGTGGCATGCTTTTCTTGTATGAACAGAAAAATGCGAGGATATAATGTGCCTAGAATGAACGAATAAAGAACCCACCATGGATGAGTATGCAGTCTTACTGTCGCAGTAAGAAAGAGAATTTGAAAACTTGGAATCATTTTTCCCTCCATCTGTTTCATTGTCAATAAGAGTTACTACACTATCATTGTGAATATTCTCCAAAGCAGGCGCTGAGCAATGAGCAGAAACAAGCCCATCTTCAGACTCAAAGGCTGGTTCTTCTTCAGCTATCTGGCCACTCAAGTTTGAACCATCTGTATAACACAGAATAATAAGTTATCCAACAAGGAGAACAAGCAGCTTCGACAAAAGAGGATGGTTCTATCTGCGGCTCAATATACTATTTCAAATTTAAATAACCTTTTCCGGCCTCGCCATCACAAGCTATGCCATCACTTTGCACAGCACCTAGAGATTCTTTATTGACTGCAGTCATAGAACCAGCAGGCTTCCTTCTCCGTCTAATGTTGTGACGCTCTAGTTTCCTTCGACAACTCCTCTTACCTTCATCAAAATCGGAGAGCAGATGGAACCTAACAAGTAATTGAAAGACAAATAACAGTTTACCCCAAGAAAAAACATTAACCCCAGGGAAAATAAAGTATTCTAGCTTTTACATTCATTAATAACTACTTGATTCATGGCCTAAATTTCAAAATTTTCACTTCTAGAGACTAGACTTCCATGAACGAAAGATTCTAATTGTAAACTCCAGTAGATTAAAAAATATGGGAAATCGAATTCACCGTTGCATTCTTACATTTGCTATATAAATTTTTCACTTCTAAAGCTAGATATACAAACAATGAAACCAAACATTCAATTTCAAAACAAACAAAAAGGCGTAAAAATCAATAATAAAGCATGAATTATAATCAGATAGACTTGTGCTAGGCCTAAAAAGTGAGGTAAAAGGGGGAAAAGCAAAAGAAAAAAAGAGAGTTAAAAAGAGCTTACTTGCCACACTGTTGACAATATCTCTTGGTTTCTCCATCGATCAAAACGGTTCTGGAATTGGCGCATCGTAAGCAAATTCTATGCCTCCTATGATAACCCTTAAGCTCGCTAATATCCACTTCGCAACCCGGAACTTGGCACCGATACATGCCCGACACAGGTCGACCAGTTCGGGCCCTCTTCTTCCCCGGAGCCCCCGTCTCTTCCTCTTCCAGCTTCTCCAGCTGCGCGTCTATCTCGGGGCAGGCGCACGGGACTCGACCCGCTATAAAATTGGAACAAGTCATCCTCGGGTCCCGCTTCCTCACACGATCGGAAGCCGGAACTGTATCCGGTTCCGGAGCTGGAGCTTCCAAAGGAGAAGGGGATAAACTGTAATCGTCAAACGAAATGGGAAAGTAATCGTCAGTGGTTAATTCCAGGAGATCACCCCAGTCCCAAAGGGAGGAAGCCGAATCAGCTCCGGTGAAAGGAAAATCCATTTCACGATCTTCAGAAGAATGATGGGCACGCGATGTATCTGTTGCCGGAGATGGATCTTGTTCCATAATCAAATAGAATACAACCCCCAATTTCCACAAGATTTGGTGACTTTGGTTGTTGGGTTAGTTGACGGGAAACTGGGACGAAATCAACGGGTCGGTCGGCTCATACCATATCATATGCTTGCTGGGATTACTACTATAAAGTATTCCCACTCTTGTAAATTCTAACACAAATTAAATATAATCAAATAAATATGGATTTAATTTTAAATAAAAATTGTATGAAATGTTTTAATTAATTTACATATGTAATGTAAAATTTTAAAAATAATTAAAAAAAATTTCAAATATAAAATGGAATGTTTATTCAAATAATTGTAATTTTAAATTTTATAAAATAAAAATCCAGTTAAACCTGCTAAATTCATATATGAGTTGATATCACATCAAATTTAATAAACTCAAATCTTTTTCAAATAAATTTATTTTTTTATCAATCAGGTTCACTATAAAAGAATTATTATACTATAAAATTTATTCATCACACACATCATCTATATTTTATAAAACATTTTTCCTAATACTTAGAATAAATTAAAATATTAGGTGGCGGCTCGTACTTATCAAAGATGGAGCTCGTTATTTTATTTTGTTTATTTTTTTTTAAGAAATGACGGGAATGTGGTTATTGTGCCGACATTGTATATACGGGTATGACGCGCCGAGGGAGAACACGCGAGGGTGGAGGGAATACGTGGGAGCGTAGCGCGTGGGTTTGGTAGGTGAATATTCGTATTCGAAATGCCTCCCTCCGAACAGAAGTCAGAAAGGGGATTTTTTTTACAATAAAGATAAAGATGCTGTGATCCCATTGGTTTGCTTGTTTTTTTTTAATATCAAAATCGCACATTTTGATGATTTTGCTTATCGAGTTCGACTATTATTAAGTTCAACTGGTTTTGGAAAATTTAAAATGGAGTTTAGTTAGATTCGACTTGAAATATGTAAGTCTAAAATTTTTAAATTTAAAATTGAGATTATGAATTAAAGTTTGAAAAAGTTAAAAAAATAAATCAAAATAAAAAATATATATTAAATTTAACTCAGTTGAAATTTAAATTCGAATTCGAAGTTTAAATGGTAGACAATTTAAAAAATATATATTAAAATTTAACTTGTTGAAAAAAATATATCTCACATGAAGAATTTGATAAAATATACATTTAAATAATTTTATATTTTTTTAATTAAATACTATAAAATAATGTTGTATTTTATTAATCTTATTCTCAAGGATACTATATTTTGTAAACCAAACATCCGAAAACAACTAGTGGGTTGTAATGGAAGGAGCTCAGACAAGCCCAACATCAGAGATTAACTTTGACTACCGTTAAATTTATTGTTTTACCCTTGCCTGACTCGCTTGCTCCCTCATGTATTCTCCCTCCAAAAATCCGCAAACACGTCCTTCAAAGAATTCCCCTCTTTTTCACATTCTCTTTGGTTTCCGCTGCGCTAGGGTTTTATCTCCTGTTCAAGGGATGGGGAGGCATCGGAGCATGAGCAGAAGCTACAGTCCTCGCCGTCGTAGCCGCACTCCTACACATGCAAGAAAGAGGTACGACGATGAACCTCGCGATCGCCACCGATCTCATCGTCGCCGATCCCCTCTTCCTTCCGGTTTGCTCATTCGAAATCTCCCACTCGACGCTAGGTTTTTATATCTCTCGCTCCCTCCACTTATTCTTAACTTCCACTTTGTTGACGGTTTTATTTATTTGAATTCTTGTCTTATGAGCACGTGTTGGAAGATAAGAAATTTGAAATTTTAGTTATATTGCTCACGGCTTTTTAAGTGAAATTTGTTTCATAGGAAGTTTCCTTTTCGAAGAATAGATTTAGAAAAGTTAAATTTTGTTGTTTATCCGCAGGCCAGAAGATCTTAGGGTTCCATTTGAACGGTATGGTCCAGTGAAGGATGTTTATCTGCCGAAAAATTATTACACAGGGTACGCCATTGCTCCGTCCTTTATTCATATGTTTGTGTTTTTTCTTTGATGTTTCAGCATTCAGTTCTGGTTGTTTCTTTGTTGACGTTTGTACTGTTCTTTGAATAGAGCTTCATGATATTATAATGTCCTTTTCTGAAATTGCTTTTCTATCTTTTTGATGGCTTGCCGAAATTTTGTTTTTAGTACCTATAATGGTGTCCGAATCTTCAATTTTGCTTAGTAATGATATGAACTTATAGGGAGCCACGGGGCTTTGGCTTTGTGAAGTTTCGGTATGGTGAAGATGCAGCTGAAGCAAAACAACGAATGAACCATCAAGCTATTGGCGGACGAGAGATAAGAATTGTTTTCGCTGAGGAGAATAGAAAAACTCCCCAAGAAATGCGTTTGACTGCCTGTGTGAGGTGCCACAGCACATTTTTCTCTTATGTAATCATCTGGTTATTTTCTTCCTCCTTGGTGTTAGAGTGGAATGCTAATGTGATCAATTGCTGTTTACTATTTCTTTTTTTTTTTAAAGTAGTCGAGACAGGGGAAGCAGGAGAACACCACCTAGGTCCCCAAGACGCCGCCATCGCTGTCAGTAAAAAATTATGCTTCTTTTGTTTATCTTAACTTTTTAATAGATCATGTTACCAGGTAATGACATTTGGAGGATAATCTTCCGTTTTAATGTGAGCTCAATTATTGTTTGTGGTCACAGCTTACTCTCGCTCACCTTCACCTGCTAGGCATGATTCAAGGTTTGAATTTTACTTATCTGAAATACTTTTTATGCTTTTCTTTTAATGTGTAATTGCTGGCTCCTGTTGTTGCACAACTCCTCTTTTACATATGTAATGTCGTAAAATGTTTTAACTATGAATTTCTTTTGTTCTTACTTTTGATTCGAATAATAGCTGTCAGGTAGACATAATGCTATACCTTTCAGTGAATATATGCTGTGGTGGCCTTGTTTATGCAGATAGTAAAGTGAAAAGAAATTCATAAAGACTTCTGGATTAATAAAGATTAAAGAGATCATAAAGTGATGGTCAACTTGATTTTCTTTCAAAGCTTCTCCATAAGTATTATCCATAATCCCACCTTCACCAGCTATTGACTTCAAATTTCACGAGGTCTTGTTTTTTTATTTTGGGTTTTTGAACTGACCAGCTAAAATGGTTGTGAGATGATTAGTATGCCTGGAGTATCTTATCTTTTTCACATGAGCTTCCAATTAGTGTTCTTCTTTTTCTTCTTTGCATGAGAAATTTTTTTAAGTTTGATGTCTTCTTTTCATAGAATTTAGAGCATATATTTGGTCAAAGAAAGAACCATCCTCAAACAAAGGAAGCCAATCAAAGTATTTACTGGTAGAGATTTGTTGGCATTGTACAAGAAAAAGATAATATGAGATTTAGAAAGTTGGGGCAAAGAGAGCTATGAAGTTGTCAGATGCTGATCAACAAGTACAACATTATAGAGCCTATGTCTCAGTTTATATGGATCCGAGTGTTATATTTTTGTTCAGAAACACTGGAAAGGTGCAGGTAAAGGTCAATATTTTAATCCGTTGATTTGCTCGAGGATGCTAGTAAAAATTGTCATTGGAAGAAGGTTTGCCTTGGGATGAGTGGAAATACTCTTTTTATACTTGCTTTTTATATGAACTGAATATATCTACTTGTCTTGATAGTTGTTGTCAGTGTTAAATATTAGTGTCTCATGTATTCTGTTTTCACTTGAAACTGGAGCCAGGGATCAGAGAGGGAGAGATTATCACCGCTCCCCCAGGCGATCTAGATCAATTTCACAGGATCGTGCTGTGAGAGATGACTATCGGTCTCCCAGTCGGTCCAGATCCAAGTCGAGGGATCGTGGGGCAAAAGATGATCATCGTTCTCCCAGGCGATCTAAATCTGTTTCACAGTCTCTTTTTCCACATTATCCGCATGGTGACAGGGAATACAGAACCAACCATAGGTCCCCGAGTCCTAGGGAGAATGGTCAGGGTCTGCATGATGATAGAGATAGAAGGTCAAAGAGTCCAAGGCGTGTCAGTTGCAGTCCTTCAAGGCCTGTTCAGGATCCCTGAGGTATGTGCTTTCCAACATTCTGCATATTTCTTGAAGGCCCAAGGGTATACATAATTGATTTTATAGTTTTACTCCAGGTCCTGTGCAACAATTGAAGTTGGAATTCGGATGCTTTCGATTATGCAATCCTCACTAGCAGCTTTGCAAATGATGGTGCCTTCTTAGGGTGCGTGGTTACTGCTGGAAACTGTAAGTGTGGTTGGCCGGTTCTTTATATTAACGTACAGTTAGTACTATGAGGTAGTGTGGGTATGTTTTCAGTCTAGCAGATTTGATGTCGGGATATATCTTGTTTTTGATGATTTTGAAGAAATAATTTCAAACTGATATTGCAATCTAGCTTAATGTTGAAAGGATTTTATCTCTACTCTTTTAGCATATTTCTAGCTTAACTATTGCAACAAAGGATACTAGACTAATGGGAAAACTCAACACAGCAAATAACTCGAGAAAAGAATGCGCATGCTGTTTGACTACGACCATCTAAATCCAGGAACGGATATTACTTTCAAGTTTGAACTCTATCCTCTGTTTTCCTAATTCGGCCCTTGTATCCATTAACAAACAATCTGATGAATTAGATGTTCTACTACATTTTATCATATAAAAATTAATATTATAATATTAAAGTATTTTAAATTATTTGTGTAAGAACCTTATAGAAGAAAAATATTTAGAATAGAAAAAACATACATGTTTCCTACGAATTTAGTTACAAATATTTTTCAATTTAACTTATTTATCATAATATGCCAAGTAGTGTTACATACATTCAAACCTTCACTTAGAGTCATTCATGACAGTGTCCACCCATCAATATAATTTTATGAAGCATATTATAATTGATTTATAAAACCAACTTTGAGCATATTTTATGATTCATAGCCAAACTTGGTTACAATAATTTCCTTCCAAATTAGGAAAAAGGTTTATAAAGAAGCAAAAAAGCAAAGTGCTGATATGCAAGGTCTATTTATTTCCGATTGTTACAGTTATGTCCTCTGAAGCCTATATTTCCTTCATCAGCTGATACAAAACAGCATGAATGAATCAGTGTTTTTATCCATACAAAAATGGGAGACAATGCCAGTTTCTGTTGGAAGCAAACTTATTAATAATTGAAGCATGGAATGCAAGGCTGGTCAGTCCAAAGGGCAAGCTTTCTCAAAGGCTTGCTGCTCTCTGCGGCACAAATCGAACTCATTTGTGTGGTAATACATGCATCCCACATATGCTTCCATGGGATCTTTGCATCTCTCATACACATCTTTTAGCCTGCGCCACACCAGTTCAACATTCCGTAAATTCAAAATCATAAAACAAATAATCATTGTCATCTCATCTGATGGAATTAACAATAAGCGTTGGCATCGACACTGAAAATGCGTAGTTAAAATAAGCATAATGACAAAAAATGTATTTAACGTTCGATTAAATAGTCAAGTTGGCTTATATTTCTTTTGGAGCATTTTGGCCCACAACATTTCATTTTGGGGCAAAAAGGCTTTTACATAGATGAAAATCATTAGTCAGCAAACGGTCAACGCTCCAAAATAAGAGTTTTTCTCCCTAAAATGAAATGTTGGGGCCAAAATACTGCAAAAAGAAAAAAAGAATGAGGGGGGGGGGCAAAATGACTATTTAGTTAAACAATTAAGGGTATTTTTTGGCATTATGCCAAAAAAAAAGCTTAGAAATGATCAAATTACAGTGGATGGACTAAATCCGCAAAAAGAAGAAGAAGCATAGTACAAGGATCTCATGTACAATTTGACCCAAAAAGAACATTTAGTATTCATGGCCTTTTTCAAACCACAAAACGTAGTAAGAGAAAGTGGCAAATATCTGGTATCCTACAAACTGGGAAGCCCCATTGTAACAATCAAAGATAAAGAAGAGGCCAAAACCTAATAAAACCTGGTTAACATTCAGTAAGTAGATCTAAATCAGATTCAAACTAACATAAATAGGAAGAACAAACATCCAATTCTATGGCTTGGCTATACTTGAATCTATTTTGCCTAATCATGCCGATACTAACTCGGACTCATTTTAAGTTCCGACTGCTAATCATAAAACAAATTTAGATCGATCAACAACATGACACGATGTCAAATTCTGCGAAGCAACGTGTTTTAGCTGCTTAACTAGAGTGAGAGATGCTCATTTCCCGACAAGAATAGATGAGCTCATATGTTCCTTGTATTCCGCTACGGATATATTCGGCTTTCAAAATGCTTTTTAATGTATTTGGGTGATCATATACCAGTACCTATACCCAAATATATGTAAAAAATGCTTACTTTTATGAAGTGCTGATCTTCATACTTTTAACCACACTTTCATAGCATAAAAAGTCCAAAAAGTACACCAACTCCAAATTCTCTAACATTGCTACATTTCCATTGAAGAAAGTGTAAACACTAATCTTAATTATCACATAATTCCCTACTTAATCTCATATTCTAGTTTAATTCTTTTCCGATCCGATCATTCTCTAATACGAAACAATTCAGACATAAAAACCAACAAAGAAATTTAAAAATTGAAAAGCTTACACTCCAAGCACACATCGGGTAGCTTGTCTGCCCTTATCGAGACATTTTTCAGGGTTGGGATCTTTCTTCTTACACTTGAGGAACTCCACGTTTTCGGACATGCATTTTATTTCAATGTGCTTTGCTCAACTTTCGTCGCCATTTTCCACCGCCGAACTTAGAATAAAGATCGCTTCTTTCTGCACCAATAAAGAAAAATGTGTCAAATTTTCAAAACTTATCATCAAAAATGAAAAAAAAATCATTGGGAATTAATCTTTTACCTTAATAAATCAGTGGGTTTTTGCTTAAACAGAGAGAACTGGGGGGGGGGTTGTGGTGGTGAAGATTCTGAGGCTTTGCTTAAAACAAAACAAAATGCATACGGTGGAGTTGGTTCGTAATTCTATTTTTCTTTGAAGGGTATTTTCGTCATTCAACCTAGGCTTTATGTTTCTACCTTCTTTAAGCCCCAAAACCCTCGCTTTCTTCAACATCTTTGCTTTGCTTTGCTTTTTTTTCCCCTCTCTTCAGCCAATCATCAAAACAATCATTTTCCGAGATGATTAAGCGGTAAGTTACAATATTTTTGTTTGATGACTTTTTTATCTCTCTTCTTTGTTTGGTTTCTATATATATGTTTTTTATGGCGTTGATATGGAGATAGTGTTGAATTTAGTGCAATTTTTTAGAGATCTTCTAATTGATTTTAGCTTGGAAATGTCAAGTGTTTGAATCTATGGAAAAAAGATTACATTTTTCTTTTCCATTTCATTGTTGCAAAGGGAGCTTTCCTTCTATTGGAGTGGTTGTTCTTTGTTTAATATATGACTATATATGTTTTGGTTATTGGTTATCAATACTGATTTATTTCCAGATGCCGTTTTCTGTTATGAAATCAGTAGGATGTCGGTATTGCCGACTATCACGAAAGTTGCTCGGGTGGGATGGATATAATGAAGTAAATGCCTGATTATTGAGTGATTTCCTTTGCATTCTAGACTTCATTAGCTGAAGCTTGTAAACTTCAAAAATGGTGATTGATTAGCAATAAGGTGATTAACCTTTACTACTTTTCTCCGAGAGTCAGTTTTGTAACACTTTGCATTGAAAGAACATTAGACCCTTTTGGGTGAGGCGCATTCGATTGTGTGCACGCTTGGTGCTCCTAGAGGTGCATTTCTTTGTAAGGTGATAGGTGCTGATTGAATTTCTCTCTCTCTCTCTCTTTTTTGGATAAGCTTTATATTTCATTATCCAAGAAAACAGAAATCGGCTACAGTTCAACAACATTACAAGTCTGTACTCTATCACCAACACAGTGAACTATACGTCTATCTCCTGTTCCAAACTGTACAAAGATTAATATTTACCCTATCAGTCATATTAATTCTCTTCTTTGCTAGACTGATACTAATGGTTTCTTTTATCAATCCTACCAATTCTTTCCCTTACATCAACTGGCTACTATGTAACCTGCTATTTCTTTCTCTCCACGCCCGATAAACAATAGCATTCCATGACAAACGAAGAATTATTGTGATGAGAGATTTACCTTCTAATTCTGTGATCATCCACTGTAACTCTTGCTGCCAACTTAATGGCTGTCTTGTCAGTCCACACAATCCCAGTACGCATTTCCGGATATCTTTGTCATATGAGCATTCACTTAATAAATGATTTTGGTATCAGGCTGGCAAAAAATGCAGCAACCATCTATATTCATTCCCCATTCGATATGCCTTTCTTTTGTAGGTAATTTACCATATGATTGAAGTTCTTTTTTAGTAATTCTTTTTTTTTTTACTTTTTCTATTAGTCGTGCCTTTATTAGTAATAAAGGGATAATATGCTTCTCCATAGCATTCAACAGTAGACACGGGATCATTAGGAAATTTTTCATATCGTAAATAAAAAAAAGGGATGAATTTGCATGTTTTGTAGATAAATTTGATCACTTTTTAGATTTTATTATTGTAAGTATATATATGTTGTGGACGCTTATAGTGGCAAGTGAAGAAATTAGTTGGAACATAGCTTAAATAAGAATTCTTCATTAAAGAATCCCTATAAATTACTAATATCCCTATGAACTAGTAGTCTTTCCTATTTTTCAAATTTTCTTAGTATATACATTATAAACCTCTTTTTATGAGAACTAATTTCTTATTAGTGAAATAAGCAAAAATTGTTCCAAAACCTACGAGATTGAGGATCTCTCTTAATGAGGTCTAAGGTATCGGCACCCTTTTGACGAGTTGAAATGTCTTAAAAGATAGGTTGCCCAAGAGAGTAGAATGAGGAAACTAACTCCTCATTCCAGCATGACTTAATTGTGCATGTTCAGTGACTTAATCCTTGTCCAGGGAATCTAAAAAATTGGCATCAAAGCCGAACACTATGAGCGGTCAATGGAAGGCTTTATTCTGAATAGCTATCTCAGAATTGGAAGCCAGGATAGAAGCTAGGATTCGCCAACTGATACAACAATTGGAAGCTCAAGCTCTCTTTCTTCAGCCTTCAAACCTGTCACTTAGCAAAGACATGGAAGGATAAACCAATAATTCTGGTGCTAGGTTGCGTCAAAGGTAGACAAGAATTCTGGATGGCTAGTGATAAACTTAGAAGTGGGAATAATGCTGGAGTGACAGTACCTTGCTTCACCAAGTTAAATAAAATACATTATTTAGGAATCTATCAGTTAGTGATTCATGAGTTGAGCTGAGC